TATATATATTTATTTCCCATATAATGTTCATTATTTAGGAGACAAAAATTACTGCTGAAATTTGAGGCAGTCTTGTGTGCAGAATCTTGTGTGCTATATCCATCTTCCTATATTTTGAAAAATATCCTGTTAATCCAGGATTTGCACATATGTTTTTCTCAGTGTGGAGTTTTTGTGTTTCCAGATTTACAGCTGGTGTTAACACCACTAATTCTTTTTTTCAAAAAAACCAAAACCCAAACTTCTTTTCCTGTGCAAACACCACTTTTGCTGCCTACCTTGTTCAAAAAAGAAAGAAAGAAATAAAAGAAGATGGAAAGATGATGGAGGGTATAAAATACACTTGAATTGCAAGAATTTGAAACAAATTTATTCTCAATTTGAGTGGTATATTGCAATTGAAGCCCACGATGATTTATACCATTCATCAAACTGAAAATCCCTTCAATTGGAAAGTGGACTAAGGTTTCAAGAGTTACAGATGATATGTTGCATCCTTCATTCCTCACTCCTCTTCTTCTTTTATTTCCATTTCAAGAGTTGTAATGGAAACTAGATCTATCACAATAAAACTTTAATATAGAGTTTTGCAAAGAAGGATTACAGTTTATAAGGTTTCAGACTATAAATGCTCACCCATAATGTATTGACTTTTCCTGTTTGTTGTAACACAATAGGCATGGAAAGCAAGAAGGGTATAATCCTTTATTAATTAGGAAATTATTGATGTCCATTGTAGTTCAAGTGGTGATTTGACTTGTGCTTCCCATAGTAACCCCTTTTCTCCCATTATTCCATTCTCCCATAATTTCCATTTCTCTTCAGTTATTTAACAGAATCTTGTTGATTTAATCTCAGTCACCACTAAATAAAGAAAATAAATTAAGGAGGTCTCCTAAAATCAGCATAAACCTTTTTTATGCATGAATGTAATATATCTTGATCACAATGACAAAGACATAAAGGAAGACTCCTAGGCTTAATTCAAGCCTTTAATTTGTTCATGTATAATGCAACATTAAAAGATCCTAGAGCTTCTCTCCAGCTGAAAGAATGAAATGGTGAAATGACCCTAGATCCAATGTATGTTGCTTTGTATCGGCTTCCTTATTCATTGAATCTCTGTCTTCTATATTTATTAACCTATGTACCTCTCTCTTTTTCTCTCTGCCTACAGTCCCTGGATGGATTTGTATTTGCACTAAATCAAGAAGGAAAATTTTTGTACATTTCCGAAACAGTCTCCATCTACCTAGGCCTCTCACAAGTAAGTGAAACAATTTAGATTCTCTGTGGTGATTGTGAAAAGCAGCTTCAGCCTCATGCTTTTTTCTTCTTTGAATGATATTCGGCTTAGCATGAATTAACAAATCTATTATTTAATAGCTTTACCCGAGTCTCATGTAGGAAGAAGTGAGAAGCTTGTGTGTCAGTATTGAATGTTAGGAGTAAACTTGTGCTCCAAAACTTTAGTCTCCTTCCCTGCCCCCTCCCAAGGATCATTATTAATTTATTGAGAACAAACGAAGTTTCTTCCCTTGGTTGTTTTGAACTTTGAAACCTCTGTGCCCGGTAGGAGAGGGACACACTAATAGTGCTTCCCTTGTGTCCTATTACTGGATGTTTATGGAGTACCCTGCATTATCCTGGGAGCTGACACAATGGCAGGGAGTCATTTGGAGTCAAGAAATGCTGAAAGAGACCATTAAAATATGTTGCAGGGAGGGTTCTAGTAAAGGTGTATTTTGCTGCCTTCACTTGCTGAAAGATAGTTTCATAAAATAAGATGGCCTTTCATTATTTGCCATTTAATCACTCATAATGTGTTTGTCAGAGGTTACAAGAAAAGAAGACAGGGACATACAGTGCAAAGGGGTAAAATACTGGACCTTAGTTCTTGATAGTTTCCTTGAACATAAAAATTTTAGTCCCACAGGCTCCTGAGATATAGTCTGCATCTACAGAATGTTAAAATATCCTGAAGAAATGTTTGGACTTCAGCTAATTATCTAGGGTTTTATTTTCCTCCATAAAAATGCTGCACTTCTGGGACTTTGCACCCACAGGTGATAGGCTGAATTTGACCCTTTGCATCTGATGGTTTGGCATGAGGGAAACACTGCCTCAATAATGTGTGTGATGATTTGCCAACTTGGCGAATCTACTTCTCATTCAGTTGCTCCTTGGAATTGAAGACGGAGATAAGATTTGTCACTCTTCTCTTAAGTGAGACTCACACTCAGCTCAGTGCTTCTGAGAATTGCCACAGCTCTAGGAAAACATCCAGCATTGCTGAAGCATTCTGGCCACTAGTGAGTTTTCTGGTTAATAGTTAAATCAAGAAAGCCATTGGAAAATGATACAGGGGGGTATTTGACACTTGTGGTGGGTTGGAGAAAGAGGAAAAACATTGCCAAAATCTACTGCTAAGAATCCAAACCAGGGGTCCATTAACTTTTCCTTGAAGAACAGGCAAGCTATTGGCTCTGGCATGTGGAGTAAATCGGTTTAATGTGAACTTAAACAAGCCAACTGAGCTATTGTTAACTCGGTATTAGTATTCTTGTATCTTATTGAAATCTCTGGTTTTGTAATAGCCTTTATAGACTTTAAGCCTTGTCTTAATCTGTTTGGGACCTAGTATCAAGAATCCCCAATTTTGAAATTGGTGCACCACCATGTTGTTAATGCTGTGTAAAACTGGAAACACTACTGTTTGTTGTTCGGCGGCAGTGCCCATGTTCGTCTGTTTTATGCATAGTATCCAACAAAGTTTAATAAGCCAGTAAAGAAGAAGGATGAATAATTAGTTTAAGCAGGTAAATGCTAATTAGGGAACTCCTGAAAAGCATCCATTATATACCAGCTCAAAACACATTTTACAGCCCTGGTTAGTGGTGTAATCCAAATTCTGTCAAGGCAACTGCATTTTCTGTAATTGAGATGTGTATGTTTGCTTTGCATAACAGATGGCTCTGTATGCTTAGACTGATAGCTAGGAAAATAATAATTGCATTATTCTGGCCAAAAGAATATTAGCTCTTGGGTTTTGGCCATTTCAGTCAGTCCTCCTGCCAGCACAGCATATGCACATATATGGATTGGATTTTCAAGGAAATTGATGCATCTGGAATAGTGTGGCCATCTGAAATATCATCTGTTCAAGAAAAATTTGGCTTTAACCCTGTGCTGGTTTCTCCTTTAAAAACAGTTTAATTCATTGCTCCTCAACTATAGTACTGAGTCAATTGTTTCTTAAAATCTAAGGCAAATAATTGAGGTTTCTGTAGAATAAAGTGGCTATGTAGATAGAGTGCAGTATTTGGCAATTTCTGCCCTGCTTTTATAGGTGATAGGTTTTAAGTACATACCAATAGTCAGCGTATTGACTCGTCTGGGAGTAGACTCAAGGTAGTATGTGTTGGAGCCTTCTCTGTGTTTAATGCTGGCACAGCTGGTTGACTCTGCAGGTAGACGCTAAGCGCTGTAAGACAGAGGACTTCGTTTGGCAGCAGTGTACAGTGGAAAGGGTTAAGGGTAAATCAGTAAAAACACTGTTTTGTATATATCAGTGTATGTACTTAGAATTCAGAAACAGTGTAGGAATAGTTGGGGTTAATATGAGAATCATATAATCATGGTATATTTTGGCATTTGGTAAATGTCATAAGCACGATGGAGAATCTGTAAGCAAAAATTTGGGGAAAGTGTTTCCAACTCAGTTAAGGTGTAAAGTCCTTACAGCATAATGGAGAACGTTCCAAGCTTCTTCACTGCCCCTTTCTGCATGGGGTGGGAGTTTTTATGGGCCATAAACAATGTAAAATGTACTATAGATATTCAGTTGCACATTGCCTCGTACATGCACATCCGTGCGCACACACATTCCTCTTAATATGTTATGTGTGAACCAACTGCTTCTGTTCTTATAGCACTGCCTAGGTGATTAGTCCACCAAATTATAGGCAACAATAAGGAGTCTATTATAGTTCCTCCTTTCCTTTTAAAATAGTGGGTTTTTTAAAATAAATATATTGCAACACTGTCATCAGTGACAGATTCAACCGAAGTGTTGAGGAACGTTTTGAGCATGTCATAGTTTGTTAGTCATAGCATTGCTCTGGCTGTGTTGCTAACTCTCTAGATATGCCTTCCTCAGTTTTATTTTCTCTCAACATGTAAATAAATATGGCAGCTTTAAGATGGCTTATGCTCAGGGAAGAATTAGACTTCCTTTTTGGCTCTTGAGGAAAGAAAGTAGGGAAAGTTGCAGAGTACTGCTGTGTGGCACGCAAGAGAGACAGACAGAGCTGAATTTCCCCTTATTCCCCATCAAATGTACCAGAACTCAGTGTTCAGGATGTGTGCATGACGTTGCTCTGTTAAGCAATGGTGGTGAGAACGGGAATGAAGTGGACAGTAATAATGCCCAAACTTCACGTTGCCACAGGCATATATTTAACCTAATATCTGAGCAGAGGGTTTGGGTTTTAGAAAACAGGCATTGTTGACTGCACAAAGAATAAAGCTGATTCCAGGTACTCAACATGAGGCCTTCCCTTCAGGGGGAATCCTACAATACCTATGCTGAGTTTGTTTTGCATAGACAGTAAATGACTACTTATACCTGGTGATAGTATTCAGAGCTGCGAAGGACAAGTCCGCTCTCTAGCCGCCAAGGAATAGGCAGAAGTGAAAATGAAGGAAGCTAACAGAGCAGGTTCCTGAACACTAAAAATGTTGCAATGATTTGTAGCCAGCTTTTATTAAATCTCTTCCAACGTGTAAGGGGTTTAATCACCACAGAATTCACAAGGGAATTTACATGATAAATAAGAAGCAGTTGTAGTTGATATAAGACTTGAAGCTTAGAGAAATATTTATTTGTTGGCTTTCTCTTTCCACAAAGGGTTTGAAATAACTTGCATAAATATATACAATAAAAATAGAACTAGGGATTCAGGGGAAAACAAAAGTAGGTAATAGGAGAATACAAATGAGGCTTATAAGAAGAAGTGTAAATTATCTGATCAGGCTTCATATATACCTATGAGCTTCCTGGTAACCAAAGCAAAAAGGGAAATGCCAATCAACCATCAAAAATAGCTCAGCCAGCAGTGTCTTTAGTAAAGCAAAGTTCTACTAGAAACCAAATCTGAAAACAGTTTTCTATTTTAATCTTTCCATTGACGCTAACATGGATTATGACATATCAATTTACTTCCATTGGAGTTCACTTTTACAGCAAAGCTGAAACAATAGCCTGGATAACAAATAGGAGCATGCATTTTCACATCTCAGCCACTGGCCTGCCAAACAGTGGTTCAAGAGCTGATGTTCTGGCATCCAGCCTTCACAACTGCTTTGACTCCTTGGGTGACTGATGCAGTTTTAATTTACATTTCCCTTTCTATTCTTTTAACTCTGTGTTTTCTTTCACATTCTCGTGGGAGTCAGCATTCTAGTTGCCAGAGGAGGAGGATGAGCCTCTTTGACTAATGAGAGGATAAAAATGGACTTGTGCCTCCTGAAAACGTCTTTTCCTTGAAAGTGAGGTGAGAGGTGATGATTCTGATGCGCCTGCACATATGCTGGCAAAATGTTTGCAAGTTAGCACAGAGCCCCACGTAAAACAAAATAAGATCTCCCTCAAACTGGGAAATTAGCAGATTTTTTTTTTGTAGTTGTGATATCATTCGAAAATGCCATACATGCCAGGCTAAGCCCTCTCTTGAAATGTGTTCTAATCACCCCCCACCTCCTCCAGTGCTCAGCATGCATATAACGAGTCACTTCCCTTCTCACCGAGTCCCCACCCTCAGATAAGATATTTCCTTGCTATTGTAAGCCAGCCAGAAGGTAGCTGCAGACAAGGTTACAAATTGGCTTGTTTCAAGGCAGCTTGCTGAAAGGGGCAGGGTAGCTACAGATAATAATAAGAGCTAATAGAGGTGAAGGTGAAAGGGGTAAATGGTTATTTTAAATTTGCTTTTTTTTATTTTAAGTTATGCAGATATATTTACCGCGAACTCCTTTCCCCATCCTGTTGTTCATCTCCATATTTTAGATTTCTCTGCATTTGTTATATAGAATGGCAAATAAAATTACAGCTACAGCACACCAAGTACAAGGTCAAATAAATGACAGTGCTCAGTCTATTTGTGAAGCTATTCTGAAAGGGAACCATGGTGCCAAATGTGGTTTATTTGAATAATAAAGAAGAATTAGATTCCCCTGATAACTTGGCTGAGGGCCAATAAATCACTG